ATATGTAAATACCTATTCTAAACACTTCATAAAAGAAAGAAAAATACTTAATATTAAAACTAGGTACCAATAATACAACAAACAAGAAATAATAGATCAGGCCAGCGATACATAAAACTCAACAAATAGATTGTAGGTGTACTAACAAATCTCCAGTCACAAGTGATTAACTATGGAAAGTTTTCTTTTTTGGTGGTTCAATATTTTGTGGTTTCACAAAAAGCTTGATACAAATGGGATGCATTTTTCATGGAGGTCATGAAATGGAATTCTTTCCTTTATCAGTTTCATTTTCAATAGAAGTCATGAAATAATGCTATTTTTACTTTATCAATAGAAGTAAAAAAAAAATGATACTATTTTTACTTTATCAATAGAAGTAAAAAAATAATTCAATTTTTTTACTTTTACTTTTTACAGAAGTAATAAAATGATACAATTACTACTTTATCAATTTTTTACAGTATGTATCTATTTAAGGCATTTTATTCCAAAATCAAAAATATTGCAGACAAGGACACCTCAATTCTAACCTTTACCAAACCTTCACAGATGAAGTTTAGATATGAAATTTACACTTGAGAGTTTTTGAACATTATTGTATTGTTGTAAATAACAGACCAGAGAAACTTTAAGGAGACTAAATATTGAACCTGAGCTTACAACATCAGAAAATGTCAGTACATTTTTATTGAGTACTTATAAATTAGAATGTAACAGATATACAGATACACACTGATTCACTTATACTGACCATACACATATACAGCCACTTGTTTCAACTGCCATTCATTAGTAGGTACCATCAACAAATTTCTAGGAGCTATTTCTTAAAAGAAAAAAACTCATACATTGTGTATCTCTTAACATATCGCCAACATAACTGGAGGCAGTATAATAAAGTTTAACTATATGTACATTTTATAGAAAAGTCTTAAGATTCAGACAGACTTTCAGCGATATTTCTTCATTGGTTTCACAGAACACAAAGATATATATCGCTAATAGTCAGAATTTTTCATATGAAGTACAGAATTAGGAGGGTAAAGACATCAGTGTAACATCATCACAATATGTAATATCAACATTTGTAGTGTAACAATGGTAAAAAAGTGATATATGCTGCCTTCTGTCACCAGGTGCTACACACCAACACAGTTATACCATAAACCACCTACAGCTTAAGTACAACTCCAACAGGAATCAAAATGTTGTACAACTCCAACAAATTAAAATGTTGTACAACTCCAACAAATCAAAATGTTGTACAACTCCAACAAATCAAAATGTACTCCAACAGAAATTTAAATGGTCAAATTGATTGATATTAAACACCAATTTACTAAATTGGAACATTACAACAGTTTTCTTCTGAAATTACACTGAAGTATTAGAGTTTTTTTAACACATATAATCTAACTACAGCCATTCCATTGTATCTATTGATTTTACACTCACTAGAAAATATCAAAAAAGATTTTTTTTCACTTTTTTTAATTTTTTCTGTTTCTTTTACCATGTGGAGCATAAATTTTCTTTTTTTTGTCTTGAGTTGTATTTAAACTGAAAGTGATAAATAGTGATGCATAAAATAACAATTTTTAATAATAAATTTGTACTATACAACAAACTGCAACAAATCTATGTACTTACATAAATATCAGAAAGTTAGAAACACAAAAATAAAATAATTATTGCATACACAGATCCCTAATGATGCAATCCACAACTACCTAAATCAATTACTATCTACTAGGTTCACCTAGTATAAACAGGTTAAAAATATTTATTGACAAATTATATATTTCAGACATTTAATCTTAAAATTTAATCAGATTATTGGTTATTCCTTGAGTCTATAGTTTCCTGATAAAAAAAAACAACTGCTTTTGATATAAATATATCCTTTTTGTGTCAAATATCATTGTCTGTTTTTGTCAAGAACCAATTTATAACCAACTCGACATTCCTCATCTCCAGTAAATAACCAGACTAAGGTGTAATTACTGTAATTATGTCCCTGGGTTATATAAATATACAGACCTAAGGTGTAATTACTGTAATCCTGAGTTATATAAATATACAGACCTAAGGTGTAATTACTGTAATCCTGGGTTATATAAATATACAGACCTATGGTGTAATTACTGTAATTATGTCCCTGGGTTATATAAATATACAGACCTAAGGTGTAATTACTGTAATCCTGGGTTATATAAATATACAGACCTAAGGTGTAATTACTGTACTTATGTCCCTGGGTTATATAAATATACAGACCTAAGGTGTAATTACTGTAATCCTGGGTTATATAAATATACAGACCTAAGGTGTAATTACTGTAATTATGTCCCTGGGTTATATAAATATACAGACCTAAGGTGTAATTACTGTAATCCTGGGTTATATAAATATACAGACCTAAGGTGTAATTACTGTACTTATGTCCCTGGGTTATATAAATATACAGACCTAAGGTGTAATTACTGTACTTATGTCCCTGGGTTATATAAATATACAGACCTAAGGTGTAATTACTGTAATTATGTTCCTGGGTTATATAAATATACAGACCTAAGGTGTAATTACTGTAATCCTGGGTTATATAAATATACAGACCTAAGGTGTAATTACTGTAATCCTGGGTTATATAAATATACAGACCTAAGGTGTAATTACTGTAATCCAGTGTTATATAAATATACAGACCTAAGGTGTAATTACTGTACTTATGTCCCTGTGTTATATAAATATACAGACCTAAGGTGTAATTACTGTAATTATGTTCCTGGGTTCTATAAATAACCAGACTAAGGTGTAATTACTGTAATTATGTCCCTGGGTTATATAAATATACAGACCTAAGGTGTAATTACTGTAATTATGTCCCTGGGTTATATAAATATACAGACCTAAGGTGTAATTACTGTACTTATGTTCCTGGGTTATATAAATATACAGACCTAAGGTGTAATTAGTGTAATCCTGGGTTATATAAATATACAGACCTAAGGTGTAATTACTGTAATTATGTCCCTGGGTTATATAAATATACTAAGGTGTAATTAGACCTAAGGTGTAATTACTGTACTTATGTCCCTGGGTTATATAAATATACAGACCTAAGGTGTAATTAATTATGTCTGTATTATCCTGGGTTATATAAATATACAGACCTAAGGTGTAAAGGTGTAATTACTGTATTATCCTGGGTTATATAAATATACAGACCTAAGGTGTAATTACTGTAATTATGTCCCTGGGTTATATAAATATACAGACCTAAGGTGTAATTACTGTAATTATGTCCCTGGGTTATATAGATGTAAGGAGGTTTTAATTACTCTTATCCTCCATTACCTGGCTAAGTTTAAACATACAGATGTATGTTGAAGGATCTGAGGTATGTTTACAGTGTAATCATCCTGTACTGACACCATTCCTTATTAGAACCTGAAGATTATTATCCTACAATTGACAAATACAAAGAGACCATCTTGTACAGCTTTATACAAATGTATATGTATCTAAACATTGAATGCAAATAATTCACTCAGCTGATGCTAAAACTAAGTAAAGCTGTGTGCCAAACACTTTGGTGTTATCTCTCAAAATTATATCAAAAATAGAAAATAGGAAAATTGTCATAATTAGTAAAAACATCTGGTTTATCTATTATTGCAGCATATATTTGGTTATTTAGGATAAAAAACAAGGAAATGATAGACGACGATTATCTTGAGAATATAAATCTGGTATATAACAACAGAAGTAGTAATTATTGCAGTTAAATGATTACACATATGATAATAACCATAGAAACAGAATCTTTATAATTGATTAAGGAAGAATTCTTCTTCTTCATTTCAAGGCATTTTACAAATCAATGTTAGGAACTTAATTTACTATATACACTATCAAAGCCACAAATATGACAATAGAATTTAAAAAAAAAAATTGAAAATGTTACAAGGAAAAATTTGAATCAAATACCTTTCATGTCTTTATACCAGTGATTTCCATTTACACAATCAATTTTAAAAAGGAATTGAGAAGAACCCTGAGGTAAATTTTGCTAAAAAGCAATCGAGAGGAACCTGGTACTAAATTTTGCCAAAATGGTGAAATTATTTTAGAACAGGAAGGCAGCATCTTTTTGAACAAAAATAAATGACCAAAAACATAATGTAAATTATATGGAAGTGATCATGTATTCCAAGAGGCCCAAAAGGCCTTCTTTATCACCAGCTTTTCTGATGTTAACCAATGTGATTTTTGTGACATCTGAATTGGGTAACCAATGTGATTTTTGTGACATTTGAATTGGGTATCCAATTTGACCTTTGTAACATTCAGATTGTGTTGAGAGATATTCATTTTACCACATTTGGCCGCCTTCACTACCTATATTCTACTGACCTCTAATATAGCCCTTGTTTATTTTTTAGGCAAAACATGTGTGTCTTGCATAAGTCCTGAGTATGTTAACAGCATGCTGTTGTTTAATTGTCATCCTACCATATTTGGCCTTGGCAATTAGCTACAACTTCACATGTATCATTTGACACATGTAGTTATGGATGTCGGTATCAACACATTGTCATGGGCATGATCACCAACATGTAATTGATGTTAAATGACTGACATATTTGGAAACCTATACTGATGAATGTGTAAGGCTTATGGCTAAGGCATGTGTTCAGTCATCGAGACTGGGAAGAATTTTGACGTTACTTAATGGTGTAGGAGGAACATCACAAAAGGCACTGTTATGAAGCTTTGATGTCTTCCGTGGTCGCCAAGATGTATGAAAGTTCCTCACCTTGATAGCATCCTCACCCGATACATTATTAGTCTTGCCTGCAATCATGGACATTGGGTGCTGTGCTAAAGAGGTAGTGCTTGTTTTGGAAGCTGAGTTTGTGAAGGTCGACAGAGGAAGGTCAAACACTGGATTGGGGATATTCTCCCTGTTTCTAATGGTGTCCAGTGTCTGAGGTTTAAATCGCAGCATTTTGTCCACAAAGAAATCTGACACAGGATTCATCACAGGACTTGACTGCACTAACTGCGATTCCTGCACAGAAGAGTTTGGGTAAACCGTTGCTAAGGCAACCCGTTTTGGAGAAGCAAATTGAGTTGACTTGGTCAAATTAAGTTTGTGGTTGGGTAAGGGGGCACGACTTTTGCCTGTAAAGGCCCAAATGACTGGATCTAAGTTATTATGACGTTTACTAACTTTCTTTAAAGCATTCAATGTTGAGTCTTTGTTAGAGTGCTCTTTCTTAGATTTTTTTGCCTTTTTCTTGACCTTTAGTCTAAGGTCGCGCAAAGGCTCCAGTTCCTGGTGATGTATAAGAGGCTCACGATGGGAGAGAGGCAAATGACGATATTGGCGGTGATCTACTCCTTCCTTAGACAATTGCTCACGGTGGGACAGGGGCTCACGAACCTCCCAGTGTGGAAGATGTTGAAGCTGAATGGCTGCATGATCTATATCTGGAATGTTCTGAGTGGAAGAGGATGATTTTTCAGATATTCTGTCTGGCATACTTACTGAACGTACCTCCTGTGATTTAGGTGTTTTTACGGTTTTTGGATGTTCTATTATAAAAACAGTGTCTTTACGCAGGATGTGGTCTTTAGGTAGAGGGAAGTGGTGGTTGACAGAGTCTGTTGTCTCACTAAGAACCTTTTGTATACTTAACTCGTCGGTGTCTAACTGGTCAATGTTGTCTTGATTTCCTTGTTGTGACGAGTCAATACTGTCTTTGTTTCCATTGGATGTCCCACTTGTCATGTCATTATGGTTTGAATTATTTTTATTCTGACTTTGAGAGTTTCTTTCCCTCTCACCATCTTCTTGCTCAAAATCCTCATTTCCCTGAGATTCTGATTGGCCGAATTTAAACATTTGTGTCACATGTGGTTCTGCAATTTCATCCCTGAGAAAGACAACAACAACAGTTATGTTATCTGTAGATCCATTTTCTTTAGCCCAAGTCACAAGTTTCTTGGCCACACCAGATTTATCTCCCTTGGAATCCTGGAGATAATCGTACACTAGTCTAGGAACCTCATTTGGTGATACTATGTCCCAGAGTCCATCACAAGCCAACACTAAGTAATCCTCGGTGCCATCCAAGGAAAAACCTGATGTGTCAGCATCACTAATTATAAACTTTTTATGGGCAGGATCACCTAAAAATAAAAACAAAATGAATTCATTTTCTTGTATTGTTTGGTATTAAATACAGATAAGGAACAATAGCTCCCATACATTTTGTCATAAACATCAGCTGCTGTAGAGTTGTTGGCTTGTTTCTTTCAACATTTAAATTTTTATTGAATTTTCTCAATGCATAACAAAGGCTGGGTAAATTCAGTTTGATACCTCTTCTCTACACAATCCGAACTACTTTCCTGACAAACTTGGACAGGTAGACAACATTACATTATGTAAGAATATTATCTACACAATCCGAACTGCTTTCCTGACAAACTTAGCCAAGTAGACAACATTACATTATGTAAGAATATTATCTACACAATCCGAACTACTTTCCTGACAAACTTGGACAGGTAGACAACATTACATTATGTAAGAATATTATCTACACAATCCGAACTGCTTTCCTGACAAACTTAGCCAAGTAGACAACATTACATTATGTAAGAATATTATCTACACAATCCGAACTGCTTTCCTGACAAACTTAGCCAAGTAGACAACATTACATTATGTAAGAATATTATCTACACAATCCCAACTACTTTCCTGACAAACTTGGACAGGTAGACAACATTACATTATGTAAGAATATTATCTACACAATCCCAACTACTTTCCTGACAAACTTGGACAGGTAGACAACATTACATTATGTAAGAATATTATCTACACAATCCCAACTACTTTCCTGACAAACTTGGACAGGTAGACAACATTACATTATGTAAGGCTAAACATCATATAAAAACATGAATATTTACATAATTATTTAATTGAAATGTTTCAAGTACATTGTATTACCAAAGTTTCCCTACACACCTGATATCTTGGTCATCTTGATTTAACAATTTATCACATTTTTGCCTGTGAAATATAGAGAAATATTTCATTTATAAAAGTGTTATTTTTCAGAAACACTTTTGCAGATTTACACCAATGAAAAGAGAGAACACAAATCATCTTATTAAATTGACAAATCACAAAGCATGGTACACAAAACCAGAAAAACAGAACCTGAAAGGGTTGTTCACTAGTAACATGACAGTCAATGCCATGGTAAACTTTCATTTCCTGAACAGTCAGGAAACAATGCAACACAAATTACATTATCAGACATGAAACCTAGCCCCCAACCAAACGTCTTGAATGTGGAGCTAACACATTAGACATGTTTAAGGGGAATCTTGTCATCAACAGCGACAGCTGTAGGTTGCTGCCATGTTTTCAGGCACATAGTGACTTGCCAAAGGTGAAATTTTCTCGAAATTTACAGCAAATTGTGTCTGTTAGTGACATGAATAAGAAACATTTTCTATGTGAATATAAAAATAAATCTACATTTCTCTATGTTATTGTATTTATCTTGCCATAAGCCCAAGGATCTGAGAAATATGGGCCTTGTGAGTCGGTAGGCTGGGCTCATCATCCCGTAAACAGCTAGGGTCATTTTGAAAGTGAGGTCATATATCATCCAGAGCAATTAGGGTAAAGTGTCCTATATATAGCTGGTCTCAATAGAGAGGTGTTCTGAATAGACAGGTGAACAGTGTCAATTTGAACATGGACTCTAAACAAATGACCCTCAGACATGTGAACTCTATACACAGCAGCTTTTGTAGATATTAAGTCATATATTCAGGAGGTCTGTATATAGAGTTCTCCCTAAGAAGGATTCTATATTTATACACAAGTGGAAAAGATTAATAACATAAAGTACATTCAGATGGTATGTTTCAATCCAAAGTCCTTACTACTTTCGTACTAGCAAAAAACTCAAGAGCACAGCAAACAGAAATATTGTTAATCTTTTAAAAACCAATACTGTAATCATTAGTGTTCCACACAATGTTATTATTTGTTTCTGTCTGAAGCTGTCAGTGTTGAACTAATACTTATTGCGATTAAGCATGCAATCATCAACACTTTGTGTTGATGTTCAGCAGAAAAAAAAATCAATGACACTTCAAAAATGTGTACACATACAACAAAACCTCACCTGAAATCAAAGCAAACAGGTATTGATATTTAGCAAACTGACTCTTTAAAAGTGCATTTCTCTTCATTTCAAAAGGAGCCTAATAACAAAAACCAGTGTTTACCTCACACTAGTACTTCAAATAGACATCTTGGATATTTCATGGAAACAATGATTTACAAGCATACAATTTATTTATTTTATTTTTTTGGACGAGAAATATGAGAAAAAAAACCACTTTCAAATTTGTCACAACCAAAGGCAAACATATTTTTTTCACTCAGCATCAAATTTCTACATCTCTGCAGTCAAGTTTACCGATCGCCCTGGAAACAGAAAGGACAAGGTTAACCCTCCATATTCCTCGCACACTGTGAACATATCCCCCTGCTTCCTCAATCCTGCGACTCTCATCCTGGAATTACAAGATACAGACAGATATACAGGGTAACCATGTATAACACAGCAGTTCCTGGCCCATACACTCTCTCATACACCATGGGTTACGCCAGTTCACATATAATTCTCCAGCTCATCCTATCTATAAATATCAAAATTGATAGTTTTTTAATTTGAATAACAATCCGGTATCTTAATTAAGAAAGAATATTTTCCAAATTAAAAATATGAAATATTTGTTTTAATTGAAGGCAACACAAACCCATGATGTCTTTGAGAATATGGTTAGGGAAAGCTGTGGGAGATTCCTGTGATAGATCACAGGAGATGTATTACCTATGGCTCGTGATACAGCCAGATTTCCGTTGACTCGCCATGTCCCCATAAACAACACACAGCCACCGGCGTCCTCTATCCTATTGCGCTCGTCCTGCAATAATCGACCAGGTTAGAATCCACCATACAACTGGGAAATACCCTGATAATATATTGTGTTTGTTGTTGTGTGTTTCTTCTTTTTTATTTCATGCACTTTGTCTGTGGTTGAGGACAGATTTTAATACATTATATGTTCATTACCTCTCTGGTTTGTGTGTCTCCATCAGTACACACTAAGGTATTGTTTCAAAACATTCTACATTCATTACCACTCTCTCTGGTTTGTGTGTCTCCATCAGTACACACTAAGGTATTGTTTTAATACATTATATGTTCATTACCTCTCTGGTTTGTGTGTCTCCATCAGTACACACTAAGGTATTGTTTTAATACATTATATGTTCATTACCTCTCTCTCTGGTTTGTGTGTCTCCATCAGTACACACTAAGGTATTGTTTTAATACATTATATGTTCATTACCACTCTCTGGTTTGTGTGTCTCCATCAGTACACACTAAGGTATTGTTTTAATACATTATATGTTCATTACCTCTCTCTCTGGTTTGTGTGTCTCCATCAGTACACACTAAGGTATTGCTTTAATACATTATATGTTCATTACCACTCTCTCTGGTTTGTGTGTCTCCATCAGTACACACTAAGGTATTGTTTTAATACATTATATGTTCATTACCTCTCTCTCTGGTTTGTGTGTCTCCATCAGTACACACTAAGGTATTGTTTTAATACATTATATGTTCATTACCACTCTCTCTGGTTTGTGTGTCTCCATCAGTACACACTAAGGTATTGTTTTAATACATTATATGTTCATTACCACTCTCTCTGGTTTGTGTGTCTCCATCAGTACACACTAAGGTATTGTTTTAATACATTATATTTTCATTACCTCTCTGGTTTGTGGGGATCCATCAGTACACACTAAGGTATTGTTTTAATACATTCTAAATTCATTACCACTCTCTCTGGTTTGTGTGTCTCCATCAGTACACACTAAGGTATTGTTTTAATACATTATATGTTCATTACCACTCTCTCTGGTTTGTGGGGATCCATCAGTACACACTAAGGTATTGTTTTAATACATTCTAAATTCATTACCTCTCTCTGGTTTGTGTGTCTCCATCAGTACACACTAAGGTATTGTTTTAATACATTATATGTTCATTACCACTCTCTCTGGTTTGTGTGTCTCCATCAGTACACACTAAGGTATTGTTTTAATACATTCTAAATTCATTACCACTCTCTCTGGTTTGTGTGTCTCCATCAGTACACACTAAGGTATTGTTTTAATACATTATATGTTCATTACCTCTCTGGTTTGTGTGTCTCCATCAATACACACTAAGGTATTGTTTTAATACATCATATGTTCATTACCTCTCTCTCTGGTTTGTGGGGATCCATCAGCACCACTGCCTCCCCGTTCCTCACCATCATCACTTGTGAATCTCCGAGCCAGGCCACATGTAATTTGTTGTCCCTGATTAAAACTGACACACCCGTAGACCCACTCTTTAGTTTCTGAAAGACAAGAAAATAAAATCCCTGACAAATTTGTAATCAAATACTTCAACAAATAGAACACTGACAGGTCAGCTAAGTGGCTGAAAACCCCTCCCCCACTCACACACACACCCACCATCCCACCCTTACATACACATATCCCAGATTGACAGATTACTGCCAAGACCTTAAGTACACTCTACAACACAAGTGAAGAAAAAATGTTATCAATCTGATAATCTGATTTTTAATTTATAACAGTGACCTTGACCTTGGGATATAAAATGCAATATCCCCTGCAAGCACATTAGGTATGGAAGCATTGTATGAAGTTTGATGTAGATTGGGCAAAGCAAAGTTACCACACAAAAACTGATTTAAGTTTATATCATTGTGTCATTTGACCTTTGGACCTGAATGGCAATCTATCTCAAACAAGCACTTTTGGTTAAGAAGCATTGCATCAAGTTAGATTAGCTACAGCAAACTCGAGTTATTCCACTCAATGGATTTTCTATTATAGCAATAACCTCAACCTTTGACTTCTGGGTCTGAAGAGCAAGCATTTTCAGTAAGGAAGCATTGTATAAAGTTTGAGTTTGACTGGGCCAAGGGAACCCAAGTTATATCACGGAAACCAAATTTCTACTTAGAATGACTGTAATCTGGACCATTGACCATTTTTGTAAGGAAACATTGTATGAGGTTTAAGTTTGATTGACCAAAGCAAACTTGAGCTATCACAAAGAAACTGATTTTTCTATTTATAGCAACACTGACCTTGACCTTTGACCTTTAAAACTGTAAAACAATCTCAAGCAAAAACTTTCAGTAAGGAAGTACTGTGAGAAATTTGGGTTAGATTGGCCAAAGCAAACTCTAATTTTCACATGAAAGCTGATATTCTATTTATAGTAGGAGTGACCTTGAACCTTGCGAGATGAAAAGCTACATACACCAAGCAAGCACATCCTTCATGGAGGCCTGGCATAAAGTATGAGTGCCATTGGCATAACAGAATTTGAGATACTGTACAGAAACAAGAAAATGAACAGACAGAGACAAACGGACAAGGTGATATTATAGGTCACCAACATCTCGAGGCAGAGCCACAATTACTCGCAAATCAGACTAAAAACAACCTCTTTCTGAAACCTTTTTTTTCAAAACTGAAATAACTTTAATTTAAAACCTAATCAAGACTTTGTCAAAATTATTATCAGGTTACATAATGATCATAAAATTTCTTCATTGAGATTTCTTGAAGGGAATGTCACAAATCTAAAGCAAACTATCCAAGGATTTTAACTAAGCCTTAAAGCCCAGCCCAAATATCCCCAAAAACTTCCAAGCTAATTACTCTAACAAAAATCTTCAATTAAATTACTGACTTCTCTCTCTGCCTTCAGTATTGACAGTGTACTCACCTCTCTCTCAGCCTTCAGTACTGACAGGGTACTCACCTCTCTCTCAACCTTCAGTACTGACAGTGTACTCACCTCTCTCTCAACCTTCAGTATTGACAGGGTACTCACATCTCTCTCAGCCTTCAGTACTGACAGTGTACTCACCTCTCTCTCTGCCTTCAGTATTGACAGGGTACTCACCTCTCTCTCAGCCTTCAGTACTGACAGTGTACTCACCTCTCTCTCAACCTTCAGTATTGACAGGGTACTCACATCTCTCTCAGCCTTCAGTATTGACAGGGTACTCACCTCTCTCTCAGCCTTCAGTACTGACAGTGTACTCACCTCTCTCTCAACCTTCAGTATTAACAGGGTACTCACATCTCTCTCAGCCTTCAGTATTGACAGGGTACTCACCTCTCTCTCAGCCTTCAGTAGGTACTTTTCATCCGTTTCTTTATATGCACATTTGAAAGCATCAGCAGGTTTTTTCTGGAATTCTTCAGAGTGAACAAGATGGCAATGTAAGTGTGTGGCTGCGTATGTGGCTGCTTCTACCCCGGCATGGCCATCAAACACAGCATAATAAGACTGCGGAGGCTGGTCCTGTAGTGATGATACACAAGATAATTACACCACTACAGATTTGAATACCTTGGTATTTGTTTTTCGTTTTGTAGTGATTTTTTTCTTGTACATCTCTCATTTCCTTTATCAATTATAATGTAGAGTGATGAAATGATGAATGAAATATATTGAATGCCCAGCAGCAGAATTACAAGCATGAAAATGTCTACATATTTCAAGTACCGTATACAAGATGTTGGAGTGTCATTTACTGGTCTTATTTGTGATGGGTTCTTTTTTCATAACAAAATCGCAGAAAACTAGCCTGTAATTCATGACTTCTATGAAAATTGCATCCATTTTACATCAGCCTTTCACTAAACAAACCTTTACAGTGTTCAGGTTTTAATTATTGTTGAATAACCATAATTTTCATCTGTTTGTGTCTCAAAAGGATTCAATGATGTTAAATTTTTCCATCTTATTCAAGAATACAAGGTGAAAATGGGTGTGTTAAGATCAGAACTATTTACTAAAATATCTTCATAGGAATCCAATATCAAGAATATTCCTTAACTTGAAATTTTTTTTACTACAGTATTTCTGGATGTTTGAAAGAAACAGGTGTGAAAGAAGCCAAGCTTTTTTATATACAAAAAAAATACAACTTGTCCCAGACTGATACTCTAACAATCAAAGAAAACTTTTCTTCACTCAACGACACTTTTAAGTTGAAAAATCCACAGAAAAAATGTTAAACTGTTACAAAAGCTAACGCGGAAAATATATACACTGAGGTAAATTGTCTAATAATACAGTTTCTATAAACTTCCAGATCTATCACACCTTCTGTCTGTTACCTTTAAACATATATAAACTAAGCTATATTGTATTATAATACAGTTTCTATAAACTTCCAGATCTATCACACCTTCTGTCTGTTACCTTTAAACATATATAAACTAAGCTATATTGTATTATAATACAGTTTCTATAAACTTCCAGATCTATCACACCTTCTGTCTGTTACCTTTAAACATATATAAACTAAGCTATATTGTATTATAATACAGTTTCTATAAACTTCCAGAATCACATATATAAACATATATAAACTAAGCTATATTGTATTATAATACAGTTTCTATAAACTTCCAGATCTATCACACCTTCTGTCTGTTACCTTTAAACATATATAAACTAAGCTATATTGTAATATAATACAGTTTCTATAGTTATCACACCTTCTGTCTGTTACCTTTAAACATATATAAACTAAGCTATATTGTAATATAATACAGTTTCTATAAACTTCCAGATCTATCACACCTTCTGTCTGTTACCTTTAAACATATATAAACTAAGCTATATTGTATTATAATACAGTTTCTATAAACTTCCAGATCTATCACACCTTCTGTCTGTTACCTTTAAACATATATAAACTAAGCTATATTGTAATATAATACAATTTCTATAAACTTCCAGATCTATCACACCTTCTGTCTGTTACCTTTAAACATATATAAACTAAGCTATATTGTATTATAATACAGTTTCTATAAACTTCCAGATCTATCACACCTTCTGTCTGTTACCTTTAAACATATATAAACTAAGCTATATTGTAATATAATACAATTTCTATAAACTTCCAGATCTATCACACCTTCTGTCTGTTACCTTTAAACATATATAAACTAAGCTATATTGTATTATAATACAGTTTCTATAAACTTCCAGATCTATCACACCTTCTGTCTGTTACCTTTAAATTAAACAAAGTATTGAGGTCAGGTAATATCACATGACGATCTTCCATTTTCCGTCGAGTATTTTTAATTTCGTAGAGGTAGGGTTTGGACAATTTGGACGGGGGAGACAACCTCGGCAGATTATCACGCCATTTTTTACAGACGTCGTGTAGAACTTCAATAACATGTGTACACATGACTTGGGCTTCAAGTACTGCAGCAAAAAAAACAACATAGAATATATTTTAGTAATGTTAGTCCTGAAAATACATGGAATAAGAAAAGTTTGAAGGTTCTAAACTGACAATATTCACATAACTTCAGACTACAGTTTTACATCGTCCCTAAGAATAATCATGATTAAAGAGTGAAAATTTAATACCTCAAAGTGGTAATATTCTGTATGTAAAGGTACTTTTTATGCATAAAAAAGTCAACAAATGAATTTAATACTCAAAAGTAGTGAATAAGCATATTACAAGGCAATACAACAGCATTGGTTAATGTTTATACTGATCTGAAATACAGCAGTAGGCACTATCAGTGCCATTAGTGTTTATCATTAAATTAATTTTATTTTTGTAACTAAACCTCCATGAAGAGGATAAAAGACGGGAGAACTATTAAAACAACTATTACCTGACAACGTCATTTGTAGTTCTGTATTTTTAAATACATCTATGTGCATACCTGTGGGCGGATCCTTTGTTATAATCTGAGTTGTCTCCCCATTGTTTGCTTCACCTCGTCCCGCACTAGACGTATCCTCTTCATACTCTGTCAGGTCAGATTTAAGGATCTGCTCTACGACAGCCCGGCACAAGGCAGCTGCTAGAGTTGGTGGACATTTTCTGTAAATGTAATAAAAAAGCTAATTTATAAACATTTTCTGTAACAAACATTTTAATGTAAACTGATATACATATATACATCAAAACATACAAATGTCCTGGCAGATCTGTATGTCTCGTCCTGGCAGATCTGTATGTCTCGTCCTGGCAGATCTGTATGTCTCGTACTTGCTGATCTGTATGTCTCCTCATCACAGATCTGTCTGTCTCGTCGTCGCAGATCTATATGTCTCATCCTCGCAGATCTGTATGTCTCATCCTCGCAGATCTATATGTCTCGTCCTCACAGATCTGTATGTCTCATCTTAGCAGATCTGTATGTCTCATCCTCGCAGATCTATATGTCTCATCCTCGCAGATCTGTATGTCTCGTCCTCACAGACCTGTATGTCTCATCCTCGCAGATCTGTATGCCTTGTCCTCGCAGATCTATATGCCTCGTCCTCGCAGATCTGTATGTCTCATCCTCGCAGATATTTATATCTCGTAATCGCAGATCTATATGTCTCGTCCTCACAGATCTGTAAGTCTCAGTTGAGTTTCAGTATATTTGAAAGCATCCCTGAAGCATTACACACAGCATACGAATAGTATGATATGTACAGTAGGATAATTAACACATAGTTTGTATGTTATAAGAGAAACATACTTTTAAATCAAGGGTTAGATAAAGATTTTACCTTTATGTGAAAATTAGGTAATGCTCAGTAGTTAGATATGTTAGTGTTTCTATACCCTATTGTTTATGACACATCAAAGCCTAAAATGAATGATTACCCTGATACTTTCTGAAGTATTTCAACACAAAACATACATGTCCTTACTTTAACCTTGAACTTCAGAAAGGACCTCTCAATGTGTATCAATGAATCAAGATTATAAGCAATGATATTCAGACATGGAAAGGAAGAACATTCAACCCTGACATTTTGAACTCACTGTAGTTCGTGCCATACAACTTACAGTTACTGTGTTGGTTGATAATAAAACTGATGAGGTAATTGAGGAAGATATGGTAAGTGTTTATCTAGATCAAGCATGAGCAATTTTCTATCATTAACTTAAACAACTTGATTCTCCCAACCAGGAAGTAACCAGAAACTATATGATTACATTATCTGGAAATTCTATATTTATATGTATACAGTTTAACAATTACACTGTTCATGTGATAAAATCTTACGTCAATTTGGTCCAGTAGTTAAGAGAATCAGGGCGACAGAGGTAAATAATGTGATCTTTAAATAACAAGGATCATGGAGTGTTTGATAATGTTGTTCTGTGTGTAGTTACAGACTGCAATCACCTATCATGTTGACCTTCACATGAAATATTCATATTGGGCTATGTCTGGAGAAATTGTAAACTAAACTGTGTTAATTAACAATAACTGATCTCTATATTTCCCTTCAAATCTAAAATTACAAAAATGACATATCAGAGGTCAAGGCCATTGCCAGAGGTCAAGGCCATTGCCAATCTAAACCATTAATGATAAAATTAAAACAACTTGTTCAGTTTCGGTTTCAATCTTTGTTTTTTTTTTTTTTCAATTTTCTGTTGATTTATCTGTTTTTTTTAATTCATTTTTTTCTGTTTGTTTTCTTTAGCTGTTTAAAGGGCTAAAGAAATCTAAGACAAGGACCTTAGCAAACACTACCCATTTTTTGAGGGTTTTTCTTTCAACATTCCTTAAGCATTTATTTTACAATAAGACCCAAAAGATTCCCACACATGGTTTTATGTATAGTGTATATGTAGAGTTCTACAGCATGTTTAGCCTTCACTCAAAATAATTCTCAACACATATGGTTATATCTATAATATATATGTAGAGTTCTACAGCATGTTTAGTCTTTCACTCAAAATAATTCTAAACACATATGGTTTTATCTATAATATATACAAGTGTATGTAGAATTATACAGCATGTTTAGTCTTTCACTCAAAATACTTTTTAACACATATGGTTTAATCTATAATATATATGTAGAATTATACAGCATGTTTAGTCTTTCACTCAAAATACTTTTTAACACATATGGTTTTATCTATAATATGTATGTAGAGTTATACAGCATGTTTAGTCTTTCACTCAAAATAATTTTTAACACATATGGTTTTATCTATAATATATATGTAGAGTTCTACAGCATGTTTAGTCTTTCACTCAAAATAATTTTTAACACATATGGTTTTATCTATAATATATACAAGTGTATGTAGAATTATACAGCATGTTTAGTCTTTCACTCAAAATACTTTTTAACACATATGGTTTAATCTATAATATATATGTAGAATTATACAGCATGTTTAGTCTTTCACTCAAAATACTTTTTAACACATATGGTTTAATCTATAATATATATGTAGAATTATACAGCATGTTAAGTCTTTCACTCAAAATAATTCTCAACACATTAAACAAAAACAATGGTGTATTCCCAGTAATATAAAGCTTTTGGACTAGATAATCTAGACAAATTATTTATCCAGACTTGGGACTAGACAAGAAACAGACATGTATAATCTATTAGATAGTGAATTCACATGTAAATTAATTGTTTACACAACCAGCATATGTTAAAACACTACTAGGAATGTATGGTGTACATAAACATCTAATTTCTAAACCAATTTATCAGCCTCCCGAAACACTTACCTTGACTGTAGAAAAGTATGTGCTACCTGCACTATATATATATACTAGGTATACCTGTGGTTTAAATAAATTTAAAGGATTGCTGAATAATGAAATTATTTTTTTAATTCTTCTGATGTGCTAAGCCAGACATTTGAAATCGACCACAGATTCTTATATTGAATCTGAAAAAATTAGAAATGTATGACAAACTTTAATAATTTATCAAATAATTCTTTTTCACTGTTGATAAAAAAAGAAATTAAAGATTCAGTGCCTATAAAAGGCAAAAAACTCTGTCAAGTTTCATTAAGTTGATAAAAAAGAAAATCTCACAAAATGCATGATGCTGAGTTTTTTTTCTGAAAATGCTTGTTTCTGCCAACAGATCTTCCCAAGTCAGATTTGTCTGATGAAAGATATTTTTATACATAACTGCATTTTTAGAAACATCTTTTTGTATCTGACAAAAAAAGATAAATTTGTGATTGAAAAGAAGAAAATAATTGTATGATTTTTGCAATAGCTTGAGAATGTACTGACAGTATAATGGTAGCCTTGCTTTCTCAGTGTGTACTGGCTTTGTGTCTAAGTTAGCAGTAATGAAGCATGAAATTGAACAAGTTTCTATAATAGCTGTAGGATACCAAAGCCAGCCAATTCTCTTTGGCATCCAGAAATGACACGCCTTGTAAAAATGACCTTCTGAAGTAGAGGTGACTACAAACTAATCTCCAGACTTGGGTTCCTGTATATAACGAACATGTTGTGTTTTATGTACTTTTCGTCCTTTCATAATGCTTAAAAGCTGGTACAATGTACTTATATTCTACATGGCCACTTACAAGTTTTTCCCACATTGCTCTCTTCTTGGCCTGCAAATTTAAGAGCATTAAAAGTCTCTTTTTCCTTCCCAAGCTGCAGCCAAATCAATCATATATCAGTGTCTGATGAAAATAACCAGCAAGAACCCTTTAATTCAGTCAGTTTTCACCCTAATCTACTGTATATAATGAGGAACCACAGCTAGCAAGAACCCTTTAATTAAGTCAGTTTTCACCCTAATCTACTGTATATAATGAGGAACCACAGCTAGCAAGAACCCTTTAATTCAGTCAGTTTTCACCCTAATCTACTGTATATAATGAGGAACCACAGCTAGCAAGAACCCTTTAATTCAGTCAGTTTTCACCCTAATCTACTGTATATAATGAGGAACCACAGCTAGCAAGAACCCTTTAATTCAGTCAGTTTTCACCCTAATCTACTGTATAGGATGAGGAACCTTAGCTAGCAAGAACCCTTTAATTAAGTCAGTTTTCACCCTAATCTACTGTATGTGATGAGGAACCATAATTAGGCCAATGGTTGGAAACCCTTTTATAATTGAAACAATTTTATTTCCTTCTCCTTTTAAACTTGGCATCAACTTTGAGGAGACTGTTCACAATAAATTCTATTCTCCAAATGTTAAACCTTACTACTAACATAATTGAATCTATAGTTGAATTTATACATATTTAATGTACCAAAGACATGTCATTTAATTAATTTTACTTCCATAGATAGCACTAAGTCACTCACATAATCATTTGAATAAAAACATTTACCATAAATCCACAATTATATTTCTTTGTATTTCAAAGTTGAAAGCATGTATTTACAATGTAAAAATAAAACCAAGAATTTAAGGAAACAAAGTTCAGCTGCTGCTTAAACTTGGTTTCCAGATGGAAAACTCTGTGAATGTTCATGTGTATTATACATAAACCCAATCTACAGTCTATAGATCCCCTCAAGCCAGAGGAGTTTGATCTCTTGTCATATAAACACTAATGTCCTTGACATCATTATCCACCCAGACAGCTCTAATTCCTTGTCCCTACAACATGTCTAGGTGTTTATGGTAAACACTTGCACATACATACAGTCTTTAAAATTCTTACTTTGAAATAGCCATTCTTCAATTACACAAACTTTCCCACTCGGGGGAAAAAACACTCTTATGTATCTAAAAAACACTTTTACTTTGAAAAGCAACCCTTCAGTTTTAAAAACTGCACTACTCTGAAAAAAGGTTCATTCTAGATTTTCAGGAACTTTCTTTGACTTTGATCCGTCCTTCTCCTTAGTTAAAGAGAAACATTTCTATGCTTGAAAATAGATACATCTGTTGCTGACCTCAACAAGGTCATCTTGAAGATTACATTTATTCCATGTGTCAGTCAGGCTACACTAGAAATGTGCTATTTTTTCAGGTTTATCAACACACTTTAACATATATAACTTATTTTTTCATTTTTTCCTCAGAATGTGGAAGTGTGAAAAGGAGACACTGGTACTTTACCAGATGATG